ACTCTCCATCAAAATCTGACTGAAACAAGAAGCATATCACTACTACAGGCTTCCATTTTACTTCACAGATCTGCTTTCTTGCACTATTCTGCATATGTGCATGTTTGTGTGGGATATGGAAGTTACTGTTTTTTGTTTTTTTTAACTTAAATGGAAAGTCATAAGTTAGAAGGGTCAGTACAGATTTTCCTACATCAATATATAGTTTTCCCCTTTTTGACTATTTTATTTAAAATAACAATGTAATATTTTCACATCTCTTTTGAACCCTAGAGAGATTGTGTTCATATCAGATTGAGAATATTAACATGAAAATCATTGGCATGGGGAGGGGAAGTTCTCAAGGCAAATTTTAACTGCAGCAACTTTATCTTTAGTAAATACCAAACTATGTAAGAATGTATTCAATTTTGGATGGTATATACATAATTTATTATACATCAATTACATCACAACAAAGCTGTTCAGAAATTACTTCAAGCATCTGTGCCACCAATTCTGTTTGCTATGACTAGAAGTTTTAAAACTGAATTGAATAAGCATATTTTGGTATGGGTGAGATTTGTAATTAACAAACTAGCAAAATTTAACAAGCATGAAGAATCTGCACATGATAGGTGGCTTTAACTAACTCATAAAATAATATTGGCAAAATAGAAACTATCATAAGGGGTAAAAAAGTAGTAAACGTGATGAAAAATATAGCTGTTTGTTTCAATAGTGATTTGCTTTTAATGTACTTGCTTTGTGCTGCAAGGAATTCAAAACTTGGTGCACACAACCAGGAGAATTACTACTTCAAGAGATAGCAAGTGATACTCTTTCCAAAATATCCTCAAACACTCCCATAATTTGTATGACCTGTAATTTCTTTTTTTTTAATAATTTATTACATCATCCTTCATTTTTGTGCCGTGTACAATTTCCCTGTGAAATTCCTATCCCCACTTCAACCTTACACCATCACCATAGTCCCTTGCATTCTGTCCCACTCCTGTCCTTGTCCTTCTTCCTCCTCATCCCCTACAGAATGTCTCTGATCTGTAGTCACCTGATGATACTGATTTTTACTATATTTACTTTTTTTTTTTCCTGATCCCTTATTTGGTTCCTTTACATTCCTCTTATAAGTAAGACCATTTGATATTTTTCTTTTCTTTCTGGTTTATTTCATTGAGCATAATCCCTTTAAAGTCCTTTTTTTGATTGCTAAGTAATAGTCCATGGTATAAATATACCACATCTTCTTGATCCAGTCACCTTTTAGTGGGCATTTGGGTGGCTTCCCTGGCATCTCTATTGTAAATTATGCTGCATTAAATGTAGGGGTGCAGATGCCCTTTTGAATTAATGTTTTTATGTCCTTTGGGTAGAGTCCTAGGAGTGAAATTGCTAGATCATATGGAGCCTCCATTTTTAGTTGTTTGAGGCAGCTTTCCATAGTGGTTGGATGTCCTATAATTTCATCATAGAACCCTAAGGATCACCTCATTTTAGTGATGGCAAAAATTAATTCAGTATATTACAAATTGCCAATTTTGGCTCTAAGTCTCAAAATAATCCATTTTGTGTGGCATATCCTTAAGGGACAGAGAAGAAATAGTTAAAGGTTTGTGCGACCTTTGCATGCTCAGGGTCACTTGTCCGCCTAACCCAACCTGGAGGTGGAGATGGGGTCACCATGAAGGATTATCCAAAGATGATAACTGGGTATTTCCAGTTACAAAGATGACTATGAATGATGACAGCTTAGAGGAAACATGAGTGGGTGAGGAGGAACCAGAAAATGTCAGGTTATGCCTGATAGGCCTGCTGTTCTTGTTTCAATGGGAGAGGGACTTGAATACGTAAAGGCTGCTGGGTTTGTAATCATGACCATGAGAATGTGAGGGGAAACACTGAGAAAAAACCTGACCGTGAACAGCCATTTACCAGAGACATTTTGTGGGGGTGGAGTAGAGAATGGGATCAAAAGAAATCCATAGAGCCAAAAAAAAAAATCTGACCAAGGCCCACAACCAAAAACAAAAAATCAGTGAGTGGTTCTTTGAGTCCAAGCCACAGTCTAAGACTTCAATTGTTGTAATTAAAAACTATTCTGATTTATTTTTTACATTGAGTAAAATGCTAAATTTTGTCTGGAAGTTTGGGGAAAACGTGGTGGTGTTTTTTTCCATCACATATCCTCTGCATTCTCTCTTGATCCTTTGGCTATAAAACACAAGTTTAGACCCTCCCTGGTGGCGCAATGGGTTAAAGCACAGCACTGAGAATCTAAAGCCACTTCCGCATGAGTTCGATTCCCACCTGTCCTGGAGGTGACCACATGGTATGGCAGACCTCTCCTGGCCCGCCCGCTGCTCCCCTCAGCAGTGTACTTCGTCGATCTGCCTGTTCTGTTTCCCACTCTGTCTCTGGTGAAGCCTCTCACCGCCCCTGAGCCTCTGGCCTGTACCCCAGTTCTGTATGCACAAATAAATAAATCTTTAAAAAAAAAAATACAAGTTTAAAGGATGGTATATCTAGAAGATGTAAATTGGAATAAAACCAAGTGGTTTGTGCATGAGAAAGAATTCATAGTCAGAAAGTGGTGGAGAGCTAGTAGAGCATCTTAAGCCCTCTGAAGCCAGTGACCATAGGAGGAGACTGGAGACGAGGGCATGCGCCTCAGTGAGGAGGAGAGTTGTAAGGCTCCTTTGTGATGAAAAGCCACATTTCAAGTCAAAGTAAATTGGAGGCTGAGGCTCTCACTGGAGAGGTAGGTGTAAGTCCATAGGGAAGAAAACAATAAACCCAGAAGAAGGTGAGGAAGGACAGAATGATAGTGAAGGTGTTGGGGTTCACTACCATAAGGAATCAGCCTTGAGATGTTGGGGATCGAGAGTAGCAGTGGCCTGTTCAGTGGGAGCCATGGAGAAGGTTTTAGCTGCCCTGAAGAGCTGTTAATGGCCATGGTATAGAGACTGGGGAGCCATGTTTTTACTTCTTTTTTGTTTAATCCTCTCTGCTAGAAAAAGAATATATTCAGCCTAGCTATTGATAGAAAAACCTGAAGTCAAAATGAGACACTTGATAGCAAAGTGTAAAACTCTGCAGGATGGGGTGGGTTTTGGTGGCTTATAATAGATCATCAGATGTTAGATACTTCCTACTTCTTTGTTGTTGTTTTAATAATTGTTTATTTTTATGTCATGTTGTGCATTTTTTCATCTTAGTTGTAATT